TACTGTAGATGTTGTGCGATTTTTAGGCGGTAGAAATATATATTCTCTTGTACATAAAAATTAAAAGAAAAAATGTTGTTTTTTTGTTTTTTTATTATTCACCCGGATGTTATTCGATTAATATCTAATTAATTGTATATTAATTAGTTGTCAATACACGGACGTAGATACAATACTAGATGACGTAAAGATGCATATATGTTATATACACGGACGTAGATACAATACTAAATGACGTAAAGATACATATATGTTATATACACGGACGTATACAATACTAGATAACGTAAAGATACATATATGTTATATAGACGGACGTATACAATACTAGATAACGTAAAGATACATATATGTTATACACGGACGTAGATACAATACTAGATGACGTAAAGATACATATATGTTATATACACGGACGTAGATACAATACTAGATGACGTAAAGATACATATATGTTATATACACGGACGTAGATACAATACTAGATGACGTAAAGATACATATCTGTTCAATACACGGACGTAGATACAATATAGATGACGGTAACAGATACATTATGTTTATAATACACGGACGTAGGGTACAATACTAGATGACGTAAAGATACATATATGTTATATACACGACGTAGATACAATACTAATGACGTAAAGATATATAATTGTTATATATCACGGACGTAGATACACTACTAAGATGACGTAAAGATACATATAATGTTATATACACGGCACGTAGATACAATACTAGATGACGTAAAAGATACTATATGTATACTAACGGACGTAGCATACAATACTAGATGACTGTAAAGATACATATATGTTATATACACGGACGTAGATACAATACTATATGAAGGACGATACATATATGTTATATACACGGACGTAGATACAATACTAGATGACGTAAAGATACATATATGTTCATATATCACGGACGTAGATACAATACTAATGACGGACGATACAATATATGTTATATACCCGGACGTAGATACAATATAGATGACGTAAAGATACAT